GTTGATGCCTCAGTGCACAGCAAACCTTTTATATTCAGGTTTTTTCCTGCTAATCTGCCTGGTGAGAGTTTATTTAGTAGACTCAATTATTGAGAGCCTTAAGAGAGTAGAGTAAAATTCTTCTTTCTCCTAAGCATCCCATTAAGCAAAGCCATCTTGCAAAGTATATATTATCAAAGTATATATTGTCATCTCCATTTTCCATATGAGAAAACTGAGGCTCTGTAAAACAAGTAAATCTTACTTGTCTTAAATCACATAACTGAGAAATAAATAAGCTGAGATGTAAATGAGGATCTATGTCCCAAAGCCCATGTTCCTCTCAAATATCTGTTATCACTAAGTGGATCATAGTCACTGCTCTGATCTCTATGTCAATTATTTATTCTACAGATTAACCATAGTTAACAAATATTTAATTTCAGTCCTGACCCAATTCTTTAGCACACTGCACTCAGTTGGTGGACATTCAGAGGCTCTCAACATTTTTTTTTTCCTTTTTCTTTGTTCACTTTGTTATCCATGTAGGCGTTGAATTCTCTGGATCAAGCGATTCTTTTCAACCTTCCAAGTAACTGAGACTGCAAGCATGCACCACCATACCTGACCTGTCAACTTATTTAGCATTGCTGTTCAGGGCTTGCCAACTTATATTATTTCAATATTATGCCCAGACAAACAAATGTAGGAAGTGAAATTTAATGGGAAATGACAATGAGGGATTTGAGGATGTAGTTTAGTGGTAAAGTGCTTACCTAGCATGTACAAGGCCCTGAGTTCAATTCCCAGCATTGCAAAAAGAGAAAGGCTGCTGTGTTTCTATAAGTAGCAATGGAATGTAATCTCTCATGATCATTGACATATCCCATTTTGTCAAAACCTCTCTTCTGATCTTATATTCTCCTCCTGATACTGTTTTCTTCGTCCCAAGCAACAGACACTTCCTGGCCTTAAAAAAAAATGAAAAAGGAAAGAAAAGTCAATGAGTTACCCCAAGCCAATTATATCTGAATCATTAGCTAAAAAAACCCCAAACACCCACAGATTCTTGTTATGTAACCCAGGTTTTCTATAACTCAAGGTCCTCCTGCCTCAGCTTTATAGTGCTGGGACTGAAAGCATGTACCATGACACCTGATGATTATCTGCTTTTCTGGATTATCTGAAACTCTAACAGGAGCACAAGAGTAATTTTTCCAGAGGCAGAAGAGATGGCTCGTTGGTTAAGAGCACTTCCTGCTCTTGAAGAGGATCCAAATTCAGTTTCCAACATTCTTATTAGGCAGCTCACAATCACCTGTAACTCTACCTCCAGGGAATCTGATGCCCTTTTCTGCCCTCTGTGGGCATTCACATGCACATGTGCATGCACATGTGTGTGTGCACACATACACACACCCACAAATAAAGACATATTTTTTAATAAAGAGCAATTGTCCAGTTATGGGATGTTTTTTGGTGGTCTTACAATGGGAACCAAGGCCTTGTGCAGGGCAGGCTTGTGCTCTACTACTACGCTACAATTCCCCAGCCCTATGATGTGCTTTCATATTCTTTCTATCTTTCCATGTGTGTTACGGAAGCATATGTGTCTGGGAACAGCAAAACAGAAAAGGCATGATTCTTACAACCAAGAAACTTAGTTTAGTGGTGAGAAAACAATATGAAACATTTTATTTAAACAGGATGTGCTATGTGATATCATTGAGGTATGTATGTTCAAGGTGGAATGAAAGTACAAATGAAAATCTGGAGTGAATTGCAAGACCATGCTAAAGAGACTATTTAAATGGATTATTGGAAGCTTTATCAGTTTTTCAAGGTGCGAAACATTTCTGGTAAAGAAAGTAGCTTGGGTAAATGTGCAGAGGTGTGGCAAGGGAGAGTGAATTTAACAGTGTGGAAACATGGCTTCTGTGCATGGTGTTAGAAGAAAATGTTGGAGAGGTAGATTATAGGTTTGCTAAGGAGCCTATATCTTGTCTTTTATAGTACATAGGCTCAGACTAGTAAGGTAAATGACGGATAAGGACAGTATTGGAGACCGGAGGAAAAGGAGGGAGATAGCTGTGTAGAACTTGATTATTCATGCTTATCTCAAAGGGGCAGTTCTAGCTGGGTGTAACTTTATGGGAATGTGGATCCAATGTTAACAGTTTTTGTGATTTTTTTTAAATTAGGAAAGCAGGAAAGCTGCATTCTAAAATGTGAAACTTCTAGATTTCTAAAAGCTAGAATTGAATTTGCTTTTAAATTCCAAGCTTTAGATGATATTGCACCAAGCACAGCACATCTGTTTGCTGGATGTGGCCTACAGGTTATCATTTTGAGGCCTGCACTGTAGGGGACAAGGCACTGTGGAAACAAAGAAGCAAATTAAAGCAATACATTATAGCACATACACAACACATTAAGAAAAGAAAACTTGTGGGCTAGGGGTGTAGCTCAGTGGTAGTGTGCATGCCTAGCTTGTGTAAGCCCTAGGTTCCATCCCCAGCTCTGCAATAACATTATTAATAATAATTATCATAACCACATACATTCCTCACTGTACTGTCTCACTGCAATATTTCTAAAGCATATAAAGCCATATGTTTTCTTTTGGTGAATCAAAGTGAGGTTCTGGGTCAAATGCAATTCCCAAGTCTTCTGAGGGCAATGGTGCAAACTGTCTCAGTCGAGTTGTTAAAAGAAGCGACAGTAAGATGTCTCAGTAGGTAAAGCACTTGCTGCTCTATGATGCAAACCCAATGACATGACTTTGATCCTGGGAACTCCCGTAAAGGTGGAAGGCAAGAACCAACTCCATAAGGTTGTCTTCTGACCTCTGTGTGCCCTCAGTGGCATATGAGCCCCCCCCATTATATAGAGACACACAATAATAATAATATTAAAAATGATGCTTTAAAAAAGATTAAAAAGATAAAAAGGTAGAACATGGGAAGCTGAGACCAGTAAAACCAGTGAGACCCCTGAACAGCTTTACCACTACCACTGCTACCACGGTCAGGAGATGGCTGTCATATATTTTTTTTTCATTTTAGAGGAAGAAGAGGCAGCCTCTTTAAACCACATATGCAATAAAGTCAACATACCCAGTGATGAAGCAGATAAAGCACAATGTAATAGCTGTTACAGTTTAAAGCCTTCATTTTACAGTTGGAGAAACTAAGCCAAGTGCTTCCACCCCCACCCTCCTTAAAAACAACATACTGCTTTGCTTGGAGTGACCCCACAAACTAGTGGCAGCGTCAAGTCTTCAAACTCCTGGTCTAGCATTCTTTCCAATAATCCTAGCTGTGATAATTAAGGTAAATCAGTCTGGCGGTTTTCCTAGCATCTAGAATTCCTGGTCTCGACAAGCAGGACTTGAGAGCTGCTGTTGCAAGTCTTTCTTTTCCCCCTTAATCTGTATGCGGATGAGATTCTTTGCAAACTTTCTGTTTCATGGGTAAAGGTTAGAAAGAGGACAAAAAGATATTTGTGAAGCACTGAGACTATTCACAAGGGTATAAAGGAAAACTTGTCTGTGCCTGATATATTTAAAGCTTATGACCCCTGTGCTCTTGGGACTGACCTCCTGGTCACGTGCTTTTGGCTTACTTTTTTCTTCTTTTGTCTTCTTTTCTATATTTCTCTGTGTTTTTCTTCTCTCTTATCAGCCTAGGTCTTAGGCTTACCCTTAAGTGCTCTGGGGCATCACTGAGCCACCTCAGTGGCATTTACTATGCTTGTTTCAAGTCAATAAAAATTGCTAATTATTTATTTCTCAATTACGTGGAAATGAGTGTGCCTACTGGCTAAAAAAGTGTACACTTGCTTTGCTACAGTTACTTAGCTCTCTAAAATCCGGGACTAGTAAGTCTTGTCAGTTGTGACTCTTGACAACTAATCTTTTCCATCCTTTATTTCCAGGTCTATTGTTCTGACATTTTCCATTTTTTTTCTGAGTCCGTTTCTGATTGGTGCAGCTGTTAAAGATGCTGCAGTTGTAGCAGCAGTGTACATCTGGAACATTTGGCTGACTTGTTGAACTTCCCCCAGGGAGTACTCCAGGGGAAGCATGGGAAGGGTGGAGAGGCCAGAACAGTTGCCTGCAAGTAGAGATGCCAATAGTGTCTGGCCATTCTGTGGACCACCCTTGTAAAACTTCACCTCATTGTGACCCTCAGTTTCCCCACCTGCTCCTTGAAGGCGCATGTTCCTTCAAAAGCTCTGCAGCCCTGGAAGAAGAGAAACATCTGCCTGTGGATTCTCTCATACAGCACTTTCTGCATTGTAAAAGGGATCAATGCATATCTGTTGAACGACTTCATAGACCAAAAAAAATCCTAGGAAACTGTTTTACCTTTGAAGGGCAACACCACTTCAATTTCATTTGGGACCGGGCGCCCTCTCTCTGCTTAGACTGCCCCCAGACTCACTCCAGGAGTGAGGCTGCCTGATTCCCAGCCTCTTAGGCTCCTGGGCTCCTAGGTCTCCTTTTCTTCTGGCGAGCCATTGAATTGCAAACACAGCAGGCATGGTTTCATTCCAAACCCTGAACTGTTTTAATTAGTTTAACGTCTGTTAAACGCTTTGAAGATTGAAAGCAACAGATAAGTACTGGATGATGTTATTAGCAACTGCAGTTAATTGCAAACATTTCTATTAATGCTAGCTTCTGCCTCCTTTTCTTTGCTCTACTTTCTTTCCAAGGTTCCCAAATTCTTCTCAGCCTCCCCCTCCTTCCCTCCCCCATGCTGGCGCTGAAGGGTTAAACCGGGGTGGAGTCCAGAGATGAACGACAGCCGTAGTCACCAACTGAAACGGGGCAAGCGGGAAGAGTTGGGTGGGGCTGCCAGGCGGAGGCGAACCCCCACGCCCCCAGGCCCCGCCCCGCGGCTGGAGGTCGGAGCGGAACAGCAGGGGGCGGGGCGCCGAGGCCTGGCAGGCCCGGTGGTTGGGCGTCCCCGCAGCCCCTTGAGGCACGGGGCGGGTCTGTGCGGACCTCCTCCCTCATTCCCTCGCGGGCCGCGCTGCCCCTCTCTCCCGCCCCTCCTCCTCCCTTTCCCACCCCTCGGAGTGGAGCTGCACATGCGGCTGCTCCCTGTTCTGTCCCGCCCAGCCACCGTCGCTCTGGAACGGGTCCTTGCAGCCCCCAGCCGATGGCAGGACAGTAGCCGCCTGTCAGGGGTCGTGAACGGCTGAGGCAGAGGCAGAGGCTCCCGGGCCTCAGAGAGTGGCTGTCTCGGGAGGCCATGGGCTACCCTGAGGTAGAGCGTAGGGAACCCCTGCCTGCGGCAGCGCCACGGGAGCGGGGCAGCCAGGGCTGCGGCTGTCGCGGGGCCCCTGCTCGGGCGGGCGAAGGGAACAGCTGCCGGCTCTTCCTGGGTTTCTTTGGCCTCTCGCTGGCCCTCCACCTGCTGACGCTCTGCTGCTACCTAGAGTTGCGGTCCGAATTGCGGCGGGAGCGGGGAGCCGAGTCCCGCCTTGGCGGCCCGGGCGCTCCTGGCACCTCTGGCACCCTAAGTCGCCCCGGTAACCTCGACCCCGTGGGTCCCATCACCCGCCACCTCGAGCAGCCCTCCCTTCAGCAGCAGCCCTTGGAACCGGGAGAAGCTCCACTCTCCCCTGAGTCCCAGGACCGGCACCAGGTGAGTCACCCAGGAGGGGGGCGGCGGCGGCCCCCTCCTCTGCTAGGTAGGGCGGGGGCCGCGGGCCAGGCCCGGGGGACTCTGGCGCCGGGAGCCAAGTTCCAGGGCAGGACCTGGGAGGGGAGGGGGCCGGCGAGCCCGGAGAGGTTGTCCCGGGCAGGTTGTCCTCAGACCCTGGTTCGGCTCCTCCAGACCCCCTCAGGTCCCTCGCACTCAGAAAACTTCGCCTGCACGCGCCGCCCCCGGCTTCGGCTGCTTTGGGGAGAAGTTGGCTGCGCTCGGGTCCTGGCCGGTGAGGAGGTGCCCGTGCCGCCCCCCTGGCCGGGTAACGGCGAGCAGCTTGGCCCTTGCGCCTGTGAGGTTCTCTGCCCGCGGTGCTTGTCTCTTCGTGTCCCGAGCCTATGCCAGCACTAGCAGGCTCCTCTTTGGAGTTGGAACTGTAAACAGCTGCAATAAGTGTTCCACGCCTGTTGAGACGACTTTTAGTCATACTCTGAGCGCGGGGTCCTTGTGCGCTGACCAGAACACGGGCTTGTTCACACTTACCTGCAATTTGACACTGATTGTCCTCGGCGGGCGTTCTAGTAAAGATCAGCGCCCCTGAGGAATTCTGGTAGAAATATGCCGTCTTGCTAGACAACTTCTGAACAGCAATTTAAACAATCTATGGAAATAAAACTCACCCTTTGCATGCCGGTTCTGACTCCTTTTGATGGAGTAGGGAGCAGTGGGAAAAGTAGGCGTCAAGAGTTTTCATTACTGCTGCTTAGGAACAGGAAGCTACAATGGAATGAATAATCACTGAAAGTCATGTATCTTTAGCAGCTTTAAAAAATATGTAGGGTGTTTGTGTCCTTACTAGCAAACCGTAGCTTTGGTTGGGTTCCTCAGTTTTTCCCATTCTTTGTTCAAGTAAATGTAGTGCACTTGATAGTATTATCTTGGCTGCCATAGTTGGCCTTTCCTGAGAAACTTTGGCAAACCTTTCAAAAATCTTATTAATGGTGAATTTGTACCTCTTGGAGAAGAGGGTGAATTGTACAAATTACTTCTTCGAGGCATTGAAGTCTTCTGTATTTACTGCCACATTCAGGGGCATTGTCATAACTCTTCAAACCTTGTTGGTGCTACTTGACCTACAAAGTTGTACACTTTAGACAGTGTTACCTCATTCATGATAATACTGTGATGTTAAGACTGACATTTTACTTATTTATAGTGTGCTTTATAAAATTGTTCCAAACCTTAAAATGTCTTTCAGACACACTCCAGCTTATATAACAGCTTATCAAAGAAGAGAATCAGCAGACATGCTTCTTCTCATACTTGAAACTTTAAACGCTGTAGCTAAATGAAAATTAACTGAATCCTGGTTCCTTTATCTACACCCCCCACCCCCAGTGTTCAGTAGAAACACTTAGCAGCTGCACATTGATATTCTGTGAATAGATGAGGGAATTCAACTTTTTTAGACAAATGGTGGCCAAGACATTTTGGCATTCAGGATAGACAGCCCTGTTTATAGACTGAGGATTAGCAGGACAGCTGTACTCTTGGGCTTCTGTGATGGCATGGGACTTTCACAGGTCTGTAATGGCATTTAGTTGCCTGCACTTTTTGTAACATTAAAATGCTTCTATGTTTCGACACTGCTTCTTAACTGCTGTCCTTTCTTCTTTCTATTTTAGTCTTTTTGAGCAGTAGAAGCAATGATACTGGCTTTTCACATTTCTTGGCATCAGTTTGGAACTGGAGTGTTTCAGAGTTGTAAGGTACTATCTGAGTCTGTTTTATTGATTTCTTTGGAGAACACATAGGCCCAGAGGGGGAAGTAACTGCTCCAAGATAGCATAACTTGAACCAAAACTAGGATGCACTTGCTCTTTTAATTCCCAGTTTAGTGCCCATTCCCCCATAGCATAGTATCTACTGAGGATTTGTTGTGAGGAAGGTGGGAGGGGGGCAATAGGTTGGAGCTCCAAGGTCGACTTTTTGCAGAGCAGAGGGTTCAGATCTGTCATTCTCTTCTACTCTCCCAACATTTTGACCAGACTAAGTTGAATCATGTATTCTTTATTTATAATGAACTTCACTTTCAAGAGAATTGGACTATACTTTGAAGGAATTTTAGCGCAGATTCCACTTGTATCTCTTGAGGGTATTAGTTTTAATATATAAGTAAATAAATAAATAAATAAATGAAAAGTTAATTGGCTAATAGAGTTAAATTGATATGCTATATCTTGGGTAAAAGTTCCAGTGCCCTGGTGCACCCTCTGCTGGCTTTGAAGTGACATTTAATTGTAGTATCTGCTGACAGTCAAGATTCTAAGTTGTGCTGACAGATTCTGATTCATAAATAAGGAAGTAAACAGTTTTGTGGGACTTGGCCACGTAGGTCATATTTTAATATTTTAGTTTTTCAACATAAATAGTTGCTGTTACAGCAACTCTTGACAGGACCAGAGAGAAAAATATGCACCCTCCAGTGGGCAATACATCTAGGTTTCCTACCAGGATATTTGGAAAGAGTAGAGGCAAGCTGATAAAATTAAGTTGTAGTGACAGAGGTACAGAGGTACTTCATCATGTAAGGTCATGTATTTGGGCAAAGGAAATCTACCCATGTTTATGAGGTGATTGGGCTGTGGGTTGGACTTAAGAAAGGACTCTAGTAATCATCATGGGTCTATGTACGCCATATTTCATTAAAAACAAAACAAAACAAAACAAAAAACAACCCAGGATGCAGAAGGAATTTAGGACTCAAAGCAGGAAGATCAACAAATTTCTCCAAGGTAAGTGTTAGAAAAGTCTCCCAAGTAGGGACATAGTTGCTGATGGTAAAAAGTGGAAGGATCACATCAGAGTTTCTGAAACCATAGCTGTGTCCTTCAGCTGGAGGAGATAAGTATCTGTATTTGGAAACTTGATAAAAAAGATGATATTAAGGGCTAGAGACATATCAGTAGTGTATTAATTTGACATCAAATATAAAAAAATAAAATCATTGGATCATTCTGTATAGAAGAAGGTCAGGTCATTATATTCCTCAAAGGTCAAGTATGTGATAAATCCTAGGAATGTGTTAACAAAAATGAAATCTCTTGTCTTCTCCATATAGAAGACCAAAAGCGAACTTTTGCCTGCAATCAGACAGAAAATTTTGGTGACTTCTCTTCAAGAAAAAGCTAGCAGCTGATTTATGAAAGTCCCCAGAAATCCAATTAAATTGATCAAAAGGATGGAGGGATTTTCTAGTAGTTTTTTTGGTCTGGCGAGAGAACTAGACGTCTTTAGAGAGAGGTATGATTCAAGTCCTCCAAATAATGATAAAGATAAGTATGGTTAATACATTGGTGTATTTAATTATCTAAGCTCAATAATACAAAGTTCTTTGTGTTAGACATAATATTAAGTGTTAGATGTCTTTTAATGCTTGATAAAGTTATTTAGAGAGAGAGAGAGAGAGAGAGAGAGAGAGAGAAAGGCAGGCAGACACAAATAAAGGTAGAATATCATTTAACTCATTGCCCCAAGTGATAATCTAAACTGTGGTAGACTAATAAGAATTTAAGACTGTTGGAGATATTTGATATGTATTCCTAATTATTTGAGGTGTTATCATAGAAGCCAGCTTTAATATTCTTTAGAAATATTTTAGTACAACTGTATAGATCATTAGTGCACCAAGATTTGACATTCCTTATGGCTGTTTGGTCAAAAAATAGCTAGGAATCAGTCAAGGTAATTTAAGATGAACAATAACAGATAATCCCACAAATTGGAGACACTGGATCCAGGAGGAATAGATTTTTTATGGGTTTAAATCCAGACTTTTCAATGTGTTACTCAAGGCTTTTGATGAACTGGTTTCATTATATCCATCTCATTTTCCCTCTCATTAATTTTGCTCCTGCAAGTCACCCAGCATATCCTCTTTTGGGATTACTCGGTACTTGTTATTGATGTTGATATTAATAAATTGCCTGTCTTTACATTAGAACTCATCAGAAATCGATCATATTTATTGTCTTCATGATATATAACATAAAACTAGTTACAGTTAAGCACTCAAATAATTGTTGAGTTAAATAGTATTTTTTATTATTATTTCTCAGGTCTTGTTAAGCCTATGAATAAATAAATAAATGAATAAATAAATAATTCTTCTGGTAATGTTTCACCAGTTTCCAAAATAATTAGAAAGTGAAATGGAAAAGAGGAGTCCTAACCATGTGATCCATTTCCTAGTTTCACACCTTCCCTCTGAGATGACAAAAAAAGCTTTTTATAATATATTGTTTGATGTTTTATTTGCTTTTAGCTCTTATCTTTCTCTCTTAGATCTTGTGAAAAATGATCTGTAATTTATCTGTAACTACCTTATAGAGAGGGTCTCTTTATACTAGAGAATTTCTGAAGCTATCTAATTCCCAAGAATATTACCAAGAGAAGCTTTGTGCTTTTGTCTGTGGGATAGCCATCAGAGGGGACTGTCTTTATCTGATTCCTCTGTAAGTACCCAGCAGTTTCTCATTTCTATTCTTTTTCTTTTTATTTATATTTTATTGAGTATAACACAAATACAGAAAAGCATAACACATCATAATTGTACCATTGGATGAAATATCACGAAGTGAATACTCATGTTGCTCGTACCTAGGTCAAGAAATGGAATATTTCTAACATTCCTCAGTCCCTTAATTGTGCCCCATCTTTATCACTATATCATCTTCACTCTCCAAAGTTAATGACTGTCCTGGCTTCTAATATCAGAGATAATTCTGTCTATTTTTGAACTATACGTAAATGAAATCAGACAAATGTATTTTTTCGAGTCTGGTATTTTTTTCACCAACACTGTATTTCTCATATCTGTTATGTTACATACACTGATAGTTGGTTTTTTTTTTTTTTGGTCTTTTTGAGACAGGGTCTCCCTGTAGCCCCAGCTGTCCTGGAACTCACTATGTAGACCAGGCTGGCCTTGACTCACA